TAGGTTGGACCAATTCAGCAAGGTTGGACTGTGTTGGTAGGTTGGACCAATTCAGCAAGGTTGGACTGTGTTGGTAGGTTGGACCAATTCAGCAAGGTTGGACTGTGTTGGTAGGTAGGACCAATTCAGCAAGGTTGGACTGTGTTGGTAGGTTGGACCAATGCAGCAAGGCTGGACTGTGTTGGTAGGTTGGACCAATGCAGCAAGGCTGGACTGTGTTGGTAGGTTGGACCAATGCAGCAAGGCTGGACTGTGTTGGTAGGTTGGACCAATTCAGCAAGGCTGGACTGTGTTGGTAGGTTGGACCAATGCAGCAAGGCTGGACTGTGTTGGTAGGTTGGACCAATTCAGCAAGGCTGGACTGTGTTGGTAGGTTGGACCAATGCAGCAAGGCTGGACTGTGTTGGTAAGTTGAACCAATTCAGCAAGGTTGGACTGTGTTGGTAGGTTGGACCAATGCAGCAAGGCTGGACTGTGTTGGTAGGTTGGACCAATGCAGCAAGGCTGGACTGTGTTGGTAAGTTGAACCAATTCAGCAAGGTTGGACTGTGTTTGTAGGTTGGACCAATTCAGCAAGTCTGGACTGTGTTGGTAGGTTGAACCAATTCAGCAAGGTTGGACTGTGTTGGTAGGTTGGACCAATTCAGCAAGGTTGGACTATGATGTTAGGTTAGACCAATTCAGCAAGGTTGGACTGTGTTGTTGGGTTGGACCAATTCAGCAAGGATGGACTGTGGTAGGTATGTTGAATCAATTCAGCAAGTTTGGACTGTGTTGGTTGGTAGGCTGGACTGTTTTCGTAGGTTGGAGCAACTTGGCAAGGTAGGACTGTGTAGGTAGATTGGACCAATTCAACCTTGACATACATTACTCATACAATACATATGGCAGCACTAGCTGACACCTGGAATGAGAACCAGGACCCTTTGTGCTTTAGCCTACATACAGGGTGTTCCATATGTTTCAGGAATGATGCTGTGTTTTATTGGTTTTCTTTTCAATCTAACTGAATTTTTGACACAATGTGTCTAAACATGTTTTGAATTAGTTGGGAAAGTTTCATATCGTGAAGTTCAGTAGTCTTAATTATATGGTTGCTATAGTAACCTAGGGGTGGGGTAGGTGGAGCAGGTGTAACAATGTACAGAATATATGAAAAATTGGTAAAAATATTTTTTTTTGTACAAAGTGTGACTAAGTATTAGGTTTTCAGAGTTAGATCAAACTTGTCAGTAATTAAACAATAAACAAAAATGAAGGTGGATTCCAAGAAAGTAAAAAAATGTCATTACCCTTGATCACATCACAATTTAAACACCTGTCATGTCATGAGTCACAAAGGAGAATAAACACAGGTAATTTTGGACGAGTGGCCATCTTGAAAAGTGAAAAAGTCATTAGCAAAGGAAAACCTTCGACTTAGGCAACACACAACAATCTGTGACAAGATATGTGAATAACAGATTTCTGCAGCAGACACAATTAAACTCCTAACGAAACCACATGGGGACTCAATGATGGTAACCTCTAGAGTGTATGAGTGGTACAAGTGGTTCAAATCTGGAAGGGAAACTGAGACCGATTATCCAAAATGTGGACATCCGAGAACAGTGAGAGCGCTAACTAATGCGGAAGGGATAGATGCTGAAATAATGATGATGGCTAATAAAGGGCGTGATAACATTTTTAATTTCCAGGAATCCACCTTTATTCTTTTTAATTTCTAACAAGTTTGATGCGACTATGACAAATTAATACTTTGAACACTTTATACAAAAACTACTATTTTTACAAAAATGTCATGTTTTGCGCGTTGTTACACCTGCTCCACCTACCCTACCCCCAGGTTACTATAGCAACCATATTATTCAGTCTACTGAGTTTCATGATATGAAACTTTTACAACTTATTCACAACATATTTGGACACATTTTGTCAAAAAATCAGCTAGATTAAAAAGAAAACCAATAAAGTACAGCATCATTCCTGAAACATATGGAACACCCTGTACATTCCTGAAATTTTCTGAGTGAATGATCATGTGCTGGTCTCATTTTGGTACTCCCCCACTCGTTTGGGTGGTGTCTGCAGCCCTAGATTCAAAGGGTGCACTAAATAAAATAAAAGGTCTATTTGAGTGTTTTGTACCTTCATAATTCCACTGAAAGAAGTTCAAGTATAGGATTATAGAGGAGCTGCCTGTCTGTTCATTTGTCCATCCCTGTATATGTCTGTCTGTCCCGGAAGATTTCTGATAACTCAAATAGTTGGTCCAAGTTTTGTAGGCTGATGTCTTATGTATTTTGTATGTGTGCTTTAGAAGGAATTTCTAATATGGCATCATGTTATGAATATATATTTTGCTAAAAGGATGCAAAATTACATACTGCCTGGTTATCATTTTTATCATGTAACCAAGGAGACAATACTACGGCCTGGTTATCATTTTTATTATGAAACCTTCAAATGATGAGTGATTCAATATTTTATGTATTGCTTGGTGGGATTAGCTAACTAGGGGTAATTGCTGATTTTTTGTCACTATCTGTTGTTATGTCACCTCTTCAAGTGGTGACATATTGTTATAGTCTCCTACTTTTTTGTGGAGAACGGTTGGTGTTCAGCATGTGGAGGGGAGCAGTCGGTGTCAAATGACATAACATTTGTAACAAATGGCAGGTGGTGACATTTTGCATGTTAATGTCTAAAATGTTGTTATTGTTAAAGTCAGCAACTTTTTTGTGGATGGTGTTCGGCAGTTGACAGGTTGTGACATTTTGCATGTTTATGCCTTGCCTCTTATCCATCATTAATTATGACCATTTACATTGCGGCCATTTGTTGAATCCAAAAGCCTCAATAACTTCAACATTTGATTAGATATTTCAATTATTTTTTCAAATAACAAAATTGTAAGGGAAACATTGGCACGCCTTTTGTAAAGATTGCTTTAACATTTTACACTCTCTGTTCTGCCACTTTAACTGGGTCATACTAATACTGTACCTTATGCTATTTAAAGGGCAAAATCAGACAGAAATAACCAAAAAAATACTCAGGTGTATAGACAGTCAAAATTTCAGAAATATCAGACATGTCAGAAATTCTTTCGTTTCATTCAAAATTTTCGGAACCTGGTGTTGAAAAAGCAGAAACAGATGAACGTTTTCATTCCAAGATAAAGCAATTAGAAAAGTGTGAAGTGCCAGTCTATCATATAGAGATAACAATTCAAGAAATAATTTGTTCATTTCCCGCCATAGATTGTGAAAATCTTGGGTAATGTTCTTTGTTCTCAACCATCTAAGATTAAGTCGTACTAACTGAACTCATGACTAGCTTTCTGGTATATAAAGTTACTTGTGCTGAAGATTATACTGTTGGTATTTGTGATTATTGCCGGTATATATGATTGTGCTGCAATTGCGCTTTGATATATTCTTGTTGATTGTGCCATGGTTTTGGCTGTTGGTGTATATGATTGTGCTGCAATTGTGGTTTTGATATGTTCTGGTTGATTGTGCCATGGTTTGGGCTGTTTGTGTCTAATATGCTGCAGTTGCACTTTTGATATGTTCTGGTTGATTGTGCCATGGTTTGGGCTGTTTGTGTATATGGTTATGCTGCAATTGTGGTTTTGATATGTTCTGGTTGATTGTGCTATGGTTTGGGCTGTTGGTGTATATGGTTGTGATGCAATTGTGCTTTAATATATTCTGGTTGATTGTGCCATGGTTTCGGCTGTTGGTATATATCGTTGTGCTGCAATTGCACTTTAATATATTCTGGTTGATTGTGCCATGGTTTCGGCTGTTGGTGTTTATGGTTATGCTGCAATAGTGATTTTGATATGTTTTGGTTAATTGTGCTATGGTTTGGGCTGTTGTTTTATATGATTGTGCTGCAGTTGCACCTTTGATATGTTCTGGTTGATTGTGCTATGGTTTGGGCTGTTGTTGTATATGATTGTGCTGCAGTTGCACCTTTGATATATTCTGGTTGATTGTGCTATGGTTTAGGCTGTTTGTGTATATGATTGTGCTGCAGTTGCACCTTTGATGTATTCTGGTTGATTGTGCCATGGTTTGGGCTGTTTGTGTCTTATATGGTTATGCTGCAGTTGCGCTTTGATATGTTCTGGTTGATTGTGCTATGTTTTGGGCTGTTGGTGTGTATGATTGTGCTGCAGTTGCGCCTTTGATATGTTCTGGTTGATTGTGCTATGTTTTGGGCTGTTGGTATGTATGATTGTGCTGCAGTTGCGCCTTTGATATGTTCTGGTTGATTGTGCTTAAGTTTGAGCTGTTGGTGTATATGGTTATGCTGCAGTTGCACTTTTGATATGCTCTTGTTGATTGTGCTATGGTTTGGGCTGTTGTTGTATATGATTTGCTGCAGTTGCGCCTTTGATATGTTCTGGTTGATTGTGCTATGGTTTGGGCTGTTGTTGTATATGATTGTGCTGCAGTTGCACCTTTGATATGTTCTCATTAATTGTGCTATGGTTTGGGCTGTTTTGTATATGGTTATGCTGCAGTTGCACTTTTGATATGCTCTTGTTGATTGTGCTATGGTTTGGGCTGTTGTTTTATATGATTGTGCTGCAGTTGCCCTTTGGTATGTTCTGGTTGATTGTACCATGTTTTGAGTTGTTGCTCTGTATGGTTGTGCCTTGGATTGTGCTTGAAAAACAGGAAATATAAATTAACTCTTCCTTGTCAGGAAATCTTCACTGTTCATGGTTGACAGCTTATGTAGAAGTCAATGGAGGAACAGATTCTTCTTAAAACAAAGTGAAGTTTGAATTGAATATTTTAAAAGCTAGAAAAATGATGGTGACAAGGAGCATGTGCCCAAGTACAACCTTTTTGTACATTGATTACCTTTTATGATTATAGAAGGAGTATGCTACGGATAATATAGCTTATTTGTTCTGAACCATTTATGCTTGACTTTTCAACTATTTTACATTTAACATGTGTTTCTCTTGTCTGTTCCAGAATTGGGAAAAGAATTGGGCTGAAAAGACTTGCAAAATTGCGTGAAGGTCGCGGAGGAGCTAAATAGACACTGCTGGGTGACACAACAAATAGCCACTGCAAGATGACCAAGAAATAGACACCCTAGCTATATAATAAAAAGACACATCAAATAGACAGAGTCACACTTTAAATATACAGTGACACAACAAATAGACAACAGACTGACACTTAAATTGCCAATGCATGTGGACACTTAACTTAGGATTGGTTGACACTTAACTTAGGATTGGTTGACACTTAACTTAGGATTGGTTGACACTTAAATCAGGATTGTTTCACTATGTATGGTCATCCTTTCCCACCATCTTTCAAAGGTTAGTGTAATGCATGTTTTATAATGGACTTTTTCATTATATACTGAATCATTCCCACCTACGAGGGTTGATCAAACAGTTTATCTCACTTCCAACAGTGTTTTGGAAGTCCATTCATGGGCTTTCAACTAGCCCATGGTCCATTCAAAACTTCTAAAGGTGATCCAAATATGTTAAATGCAGTACACTATTTTTACACTTAAACAATATATTTGTTTAAATTTTATATAAGATAAATATATACATAATATATATGCAAACAAAATCCTAAATTTTAATTTTGTCCTTTAAGGCAATTTATTGAAAACATCACTGGGTACATTTCTCCATTCATGTCTTTGACATGTGACCTACTTTTGTGCGGATTACATTCAGCTTCATTCTCATTTTAATTATAACATGCGACTATGCAATTTTTTGTTCAATTTCAATTTTGACACAAAACAGTATTATTATTCAATATGTCTTAGTTTCATTAGACAGCTACAATAGTCAATTTTTTATTGAAGAGTTTGTCATTGTAATTATTTTCACCCTAATATGGGCATATAAAACCTGATTTTTTGTATGAATAAATTATGTTAATGAGTTAGTAGAGGGTTAATTTATTGGACCATGACAGCCTCGTTATGGAATCAATTTACATTTCATGATTTGATTTTGGTTGTATCTAACAAGATTTGTCTGATTTTTTTTGTTAAATTAGAGATACATTTATAAAAAGAGATTCTTGAAAATCAAAAATATGTAAAAAGTTGAAAGATGTGTAGTTCTACAAATCAGACAAAACTTGTTAAGAAATGCAAGTCAGTGTTAGTTTTCTAACGGGATCTAAATGACACTCAGCAATATATTTATCTGTCACTGAACATTTGATACATCCCTCGAATATTCAACTGATTTAATACTGGGTAAAATCCCTTATAAGGCAGTCTAATATGTTCCCATATATGGACACCAGTCAAGCAAAAATGTTTAACTCAATGAGACTTTAGTGAAAACAGAAGCCCCTAAAGACGTCAAAACGCTGTTGAAATCTGTTATTTTTGATTGTTTTGTGGTAAACCGCAATTATGTGGAGGTTGTAAGAGAGCTGAAAACAGTCTGCAACATGTTGATTTGACCGCAAAGTACTCTCGCAAGTGCCGCCCTGGGGATTCTAGTTCTTACAGGTACAACCATACTGAAAAATTTACCTCCGCATTCTTAACATATTTAGAAGACCTGATGAACAGATTTTTCCATCAGTTTCCAAGTAAAAGGATTTGGCAGACGATTTTTAACCAAATTACTAAATCATCTTTTTACGATTTGCCAATTTAGAAGCTCTTTGATGATTTATAACCAGGTTATAGAACATTAATTTTCTTGTTTTTGCCATTAACTAGATTAGGATTTTGAGGAAGACAATTTATCATGTTAAAATGCCTAAAATACAACATTTATAGAACATAGGAATTACTAAAGCTTTGCTTATCCGATTATCTTTGCTTCAACTCAATTTACAATTTTACAATTGGCAAATAAAGTCGTTTGAAAAATAATGAAGACTTCAAATGTTTTTCTGATTAGTTTGTTCTATTCCCCAAGCTCTGTCCTTGGATTACCTCCCTTAAACCCGGCGCCCCCCCCCCACCCCACTCTAGTCTAACTTTGTAGGGAAAGTTCAGAAGAGGATGTGTAGGGGTGTAATTAGCAATAATCAGATTGTGAGTAACTTTACAAAACCACAGAATTCGGGAATGAGAGAGTCACGAATCAGAACTTATATAAATACACGCAACTAATCAATGGTTGCTTATTTTAGAACGTATTTTTGGCAATTGTGGACCACAGGCTCATTTCTTAGAAATGTTTGTGGTGTTATAGACGTTGACTCAGCCATACTTGACCCAAGGCAGCTTGATTAAAGGATGACTAGTAACTACACTGATGTGTTCTATTTTAGTACAAACCCGTATCAGTTTGTATGTGTGGCTGAATCTAAAGATCAATGGTCTGGAACAGTCTTTTTTATAAACAGGCCCTGATGAAAGACTGATATATATCTAACTTTAGAAATTTTGATGATTTGGCTTTGAGGTTAGGCGTTTGATGTCCTTTTGGGGGCTGTTCAATAAATATTAGGAATTTTTGTTTAGTGGGTTGTTCAAATTATATGTGGAGTCTGTTAATGTTAGATATTGCATTGTTCAAAATACATTGTCATCGAGTAGGGTTGTCAAAAAATAGTAGCTTTTGTTACTGAAAATTTGCGGGTTGTTCAAATTATATTGATAGTCTTTGTTACTGTTAGTTAGAGGGTTGTTTAAAATGTATTGAAAGTTGTCTTCATCCCTGTCAAGTTTAGTGTGTTAAACAATCATAATAGTCTCATTTGCATGCAGTTGTCTCTTATTTTATAGAACATTTAAACTAATATTTACAAACTGTACAATATGTACATAAGACTATTTACAATTTAGACTGATTCAATCAGAGTTTTGACTACAACATTCTAACAGATTGGAATTCATGATTCAACATTTCCAGTAACAATGATTCAACTTAATCTTACATTACGAACATGTTTGTGAGATATAAGACTCTCTTATGGCTCCTAATGAATTCTTGCATTAAACAATCTCTCTTACAATTTTTGACTAAGTATTTAGTCATGCATTTGCTTACATATTTGTAAGCCATTTCTCTACCCCTGTTCATTTATCTGATAAGGTATCTACAGTCACATACAGTGTACATCGCTTCTCTAGCATTCAGTTTGGCTTCAATAATTTATAATATTATGCTACATACATGTATACACATACATTCATTGTCTTTCATACACATTTGTTGTCATAACATTTACAGTTGCTATGACAACATGTTCCTATGGCAACCATCGTATATTTACAGTGTGCCTGTAAAGTATTTCTGTTCTGTGTCCACCAAACCCTGTTTCTAATTGACTCTGAATATACTTTGAAGATAGTGAATGAGAATTCATCTGCCTACTCATTCTATTCCTCATAGTCAGTTCTTATCTTCACTGGTAAATGTTAATTCATCATTAACCATGTTATTTTCTTCCTCACTCTGTTGATCTAGTTGCTATGGCAACCAAAAGAGTAAATGTACACATACTTATCATTTTTCATTACATTGCATTGGAATGAAAACTTCATATTTTATGACTGTGCTATCTTACACCTCACTGCTTCTAGTTTGTGTAAGGGTTGCTATGGAAACCAAACAAATATACATCGCCACGGCAACCAAGAGAAATTCTGAGAAATGTTATCTCAAACTGCATTTTTCAAGAATTCTTCCGCTCCTTTTGTGTAAATATAGAGCTTTGCATTCCCCACAGTTCACTTGGACACACTTTATGCGTCTGTTCGTACAGTCAATACAGGGGTCTGTGGAACAGTTGACCATGACAGAGTCTGTCGGACAATTATGTTTGTACCAGTGAAATTCAGCATCGAGTAACATCTTCTTTCTCTGCCATTTGATTGCTGGAAACAGAAAAACAGACATATCATATAATGATCAGACTCGCATCACAGTGTATCATTTAATATGGTAGGCATTAAATCTGCAGAATCTCACCAAAGCTCTCATATATCTCTCATATAACTCTCATACAATCATGATTTATTCAAAAAATCAGTCCCCTAACAACCTTTGTAGAAGTACAGAGAAAGATGTGTGTTGTGTGTTCTAAACTAGCTTTGAATATATGTCAGAAGTTGTATCAATATCAAAAAGGAATTTATGTTCCATTAATAACCGTATATGTCAGATATGTCAGGTATGTCAGGTTTGACCTACATATAAGGACATGGCATTGATATTTATGTCTTGAATATGTTTGTTCCCTTTAAATTGTGTATTTATTATGTTTATGTGGAGCAAAATCTAAAAAAACATTTATCAAGTATTTGGAGGTTATGTGATATCATATGAAATTATCTGATATGAAATGATGTGATATGATAAGGAATGATATGATATGATAAACATCTCAAGTTCAGATAAGAGGGAGTTTAAGATTAGCGTAAATAACCCATTTACCTATACCTATACGTAGTTTGTTATTACACTAAGCGGTATTTTACCTAAGTTACAGGGTTTACGATACGTAATTACCTATAAATGGCCGAAGATAGGTAATTCGAAAACGTATGTTTTTATCCAACAAATTATGTCATTTCTAGATCAAATATTATCCATTAAACTTTAAAATAGTACCAACAAACATTTCTCATTCGATCTACATAGAAATTAAGTGGTCGAACACATTCATTGATGCGATAAACGATGCCATGTGATGATGCATGAAATTGTTGAATTTACACATTCTTCATTAGTTTTGTTTATTGTAAATGTATGAAATCAGCCATTTTCTCGTGGTTTTAATTGTTTAACTTTACTATTTGGTCACTCTCATTGCTGGATCATGCTAGAAATTTAACATTTCGCCCTAAGTCACTGCCCCATTGGCGGACCCGCAAGCAACAACCTCTCCCAACATTGAACTACAGTAGCTACACCAAGGTCTCTCCGAAGTATATAACAGTTCTTGGAGGTGACATGTACTGGTATATGCCATATAAGCCATCGCATGGTTTTCATTCTATAATTAGGATGTCAATTTTATCATAAATTGTAGCATACGGTTTCGTAGCCTTTTACGTTAATCTTAAACTCATTTTGCAATACGCATTACCTATACGTATCCGTAACAAACATACGGATAGGGATAGGTACACATATATTTTTACGCTAATCTTAACCTCCCTAATGTCTAGCCAACAACCCAATTTTTTCCTATTTCGGAGAATGAATGGGTTGCTAAGGTATTTCTTATGGTTTCATATCTTGGCAATGTGGCACTGTGTCAATGTCACTAGGCTGTAGATTTTCAAAAGGGATGCAAAAATAGCAAAAGTGTTTAAACACTTATGAATGTCAGAATTCTATTTCTGCTTAGCCTATAGTCACACTTAGGAACAAACGAAGCTTATAGTGCAGAGTATAAAACAGCTTTAAAACACCTATAAACCATTAAAAATTATACCAAGAACAGCAGTTTTTCTGAACACTTATGTGTTACTCATTATATACAAGATATGCTGTTGGCATGGCAACAAGTGTCATGCGTTCTATGTTTGACCATGCAAACTACCCATGTGTTCTCCTATGACATCAAATTTGTTATGACATCAAACTACCCATGTGTCATATGTTATGTCAAACTACCCACTTCTCTGCATCAGTCCACACTTTTTCTCAGAGTATATTAAGAAAACCACAAATTACTAGCAACAAGACATAAATTCCAGTGGCTTGATATCCAAGTTCTCTGAATATGTCAGTGAGCAATTCGGACAATGTCAGCAATTACCAAAGCATGTGCAATTTAATTGGGAGCCTCCCTGATTTACTTCCTGAATTATGTTTGTATAAGGGGCCCTTGTCATTTGTTCGGAATTTGCTATTTTGATAGTACAGTATCATGCTTAACCTTAAGAAAACATAGTTGAAGAACCAAATGATGTATGTAAATGAATGGATGATCAGATCAAATTTTGTGGCAGTGCGGGAGAGTGTGGACAAAACAGATATTTCTAGCTCAGGTGATTAAGTTATGTTCAACACGTGTTGGTTGATTCTTTGGAATGTCAAAAAGTTTGAGTATTGGGAGTTAATCAACATTCATGGAGCCTACAGAGGATAAGATGTTGATGTAATGTTATATACAATGCCTGTCATGTATAAACTCTTTAATGTCGTCATGGAGACATACTCTCTCAACAGCTAAGTGAGGGACTCCATAAATCAGAATGGTTGTCATGGTAATTATACACCAAAACATGTATTTGTTATTGCAGTAATCAATAGGCTTGTAGTTTCAAACCATCATTCAAATGTCTTGTCATTTTTTTTTAATTGCTTACTCCCACTCAAATTCCTACCATTTCCCCACTCAAAATATGGCTTACTAACGAGAATTTAATTGGAAATTAATGAGTTATTGATTACTTGTGAAATTTTTATGGAGCTGTTGACTCCTTTTTGGAACAACAGTAAAAGTGAATTTTTCTCTGGGCATCAACTTGGAGATGTGTGATTAATAGTGGCTAAATTTGATTTTGTTATCTTTCTAGATTAAAAAATCTAGCATCAAATTCAATTCATCTTACCAGTTTTCCTAACTGCAGGTTCCCCCTTATAAACTCAGCTAAGATGGTACACAAATCATTTAAATTGAACCTAGTTATCTTGGAATGTAAAAAAAGGTTGTGTCAAAAGGCCTGAGGGAGCAATTTGCAATCAACAAACAGGGCAATAAAAAAGAAATCAGCTTAGAAACATTCCTAGTGGTTTATTTATAAGTGTATGCTACTAAGTTGTTATTAATTGGGGAAGAAATTGTTTTGAGCCTCACAAATTTTCTTAATTCTTGTGCCAGTATTCTTAAAGCTTTGTGTTATTTTTGCAGTAATGTACAATGCTTTATTTTGACCATTTATTGATGCAGCTATGTATATGATTCTATTTTGATCATTCATTGTTGCAGCTTTGTTCGAGGCTTTATTTTAATCAGGTATTGGCACAGCTAGGTTTTTGGCTTTGTTAAGAACATCTATAGATGCAGCTAGATTTGTGGCTTTATTAAGAACATTTATTGATGCAGCTACATTTGTGGCTTTATTTTGAACATTTATTGATGCAGCTAGGTTTGTGGCTTTATTAAGAACATCTATAGATGCAGCTACATTTGTTACTTTATTCAGAACATTTATTGATGCAGTTACATTTGTGGCTTTATTCAGAACATTTATTGATGCAGCTACATTTGTGGCTTTATTAAGAACATTTATTGATGCAGCTACATTTGTGGCTTTATTAAGAACACTTATTGATGCAGCTACATTTGTGGCTTTATTAAGAACATTTATTGATGCAGCTACATTTGTGGCTTTATCAAGAACATTTATTGATGCAGCTACATTTGTGGCTTTATCAAGAACATTTATTGATGCAGCTACATTTGCGGCTTCATTAAGAACATTTATTGATGCAGCTACATATGTGGCTTTATCAAGAACATTTATTGATGCAGCTACATTTGTGGCTTTATTAAGAACACTTATTGATGCAGCTACATTTGTGGCTTTATTAAGAACATTTATTGATGCAGCTACATTTGTGGCTTTATCAAGAACATTTATTGATGCAGCTACATTTGTGGCTTTATCAAGAACATTTATTGATGCAGCTACATTTGCGGCTTCATTAAGAACATTTATTGATGCAGCTACATTTGTGGCTTTATCAAGAACATTTATTGATGCAGCTACATTTGTGGCTTTATCAATAACATTTATTGATGCAGCTACATTTGTGGCTTTATCAAGAACATTTATTGATGCAGCTACATTTGTGGCTTTATCAAGAACATTTATTGATGCAGCTTCATTTGTGGCTTTATTTTGACCATTGATTGATGCAGCTTCATTTGTGGCTTTATTTTGACCATTGATTGATGTAGCTATATCTGTGTCTTTATTAAGAACATTTATTGATGCAGGTGTATTTGAAGCTTTATTTTGAACATTCATGAATGCAAAAATGTTTGACATTTTATTTTGTAGCTATGTTTGTAGAACTACACAATTAAGTCTGACTTCTATGACATGCATTCCACTGGACCCCTTAGTTTATTCTCATAAAAATACTGAAGAAATGCCTCTGAATGAACCGTGACATGAGATATAAATGGCAGGAGATATCTTGGTGGACAAGCATGATAACACAGGGAAGGGTGGCAGATTTATCGAGTCAGGCAGGACTAAACTAAGGATAAAATGCCAAACACATCATACTTTCTTTCGCAAAATGGAGAAACATGAGAGGAATGCATGGAGAATTAAACCTATAGTGAGACAACCAATATTCTTAATTGTATAGAAATGCAGAAAAATCAGACACTTCAGTCAAATCTTTGAGAGAAAATTGGTGGAATTGTCATGATTTGTGAGATTTTATTCGCAAGTGTAAATACCTGATGAAGGCGATGCTATTTGATATATTCTTTACTTGTCAATACATGTCTCCTATTTCAATGTATTTCTGTCAACACGATCATTAAGCTAATCCTCATTCATTAAAGAATGAAGTTTAAAATTAGACTGGTATTTTTTGTATAACTGACACTTTGATTTGCAGGTTTTGGATGGATTTTGTTTTATTATTATTAATTTGAATTTTAAATTGTTACTTTGACGTCATAAGCAGCCAAAGAAGCTAAAATTAACTTCTGATGGGAGTCGAGCTTAAGAAATATTATACCATTCCATTCATAAGCAGTCTGTAATTAATAACTTTGTAAAGTTGGGATCACTTAACAGAAGAAAAAATCATTAATTTCTTGTTTCAAAAAGCGTGGGTGGTTGTTTCTTGCGTAAGGAAATGACTTTTAAGGAACTGTATTTGCATCTTCTTTGTGTTCAATTCCTGAATGTAATTGCTTCTCTTGAACTCTCTTAGTAAGTGATTCTTGTATGGAGCATTAGCACAAACAAACACTTTAGCTATTTTTGGTTACTGGGAACTCCCTTTAAAGTTAATCTGATCAAAGATAATACATTCCTAATTTAGCACAAACAATTTCGAAAATAATTTCCCCGAAACTCTTAATCGTTTGTCAGTCAAAACACTTAGCTAACTGAGGGGCCTATAAATAGGGCTAGCCGGATATATTGAAGGTTAAAAATGTACAAATGTTTTTTGTGTGCTTACTTAGTAGTAATGATGTGGAATAGAGATACTCCCACTCTAAATGGCCCATAATCACCATGAGGAAATGTCTAGATACCATAAGATGAAATATGGGGTCACATTTTAAAATACAAAGGAGAGCCGAAGGCGTTAGTTAAGCAAGGATTGGAAGTAACAGATTCAAAGTCAATGCTCTGAAAAATAGGAAAACAAAGAAAAACGAAACATTTCATACTTATTCTATGGAAATAAGCGTGGAATAAGAAAGATCGGTTAATGTTTCCGTTCATGGGTGAGATGTACGTTCACGTTATTTGAAGTTTAAAAGAGCTGCAACCATATTTTATACCAGGTTTTTTGGTCAGTTGTTATTTACCCATATTTTATGATATAATCTGGGCAAAATTAAATCTTATTAAATTGTTAGTTTTCCATCCATTTCATCCCCTCCCATACTAATAGTGCTCATATCAGGGATGTTCAAATTTGCGTTTACATTCTTGGTTCAGTAACCTTAAATCTAAAACATTTGAGTACTTAACATTTTTCTGGCTCAATTACATCTCAATTTTCTTTATTTTACATCAAATTAAACACATAGTTTTGAATAATATTATGAGTATCTGGATGAATGATCTGGTAATACACTTAAGTGTTGTTGTTACTTAAGATCCCCTTGAGCCGTGTTAGTATGTTGAACGATCCCCTCCCTTATGTAACAAAATGTTTACGTTGATTAGAATCTTATGACACATCATGGCAAAGTGCTTTTTTTAGTACATTGCTTTTTGACTTGAAGCCAGGGCGATGATGACAATGTAATGTACTTATTCCTTACATATCTTTGTTATTCCGTGCATTGTGTCCTCAACATGGTATTTTATGGACATTTTTTTAAATGTTATCGGACGGATGTCAGTGTATCAATGGAAGTTCGTATAGTTTATACAAACCGTAAATTTTGTAGATATAAGTCGTAAACATTGTGTGGACAAATCGTCAAAAGTGAACTTGGGTATTTTATTATGAGGTAGCTTGATGATACGATTGTTGCATTATGATTTAACAATAGAGCTAAAAACAAAATTACTGATATTTCAAATTCAAAATGTTGAGCGCTAAGCTTTGTAGATACATTGTATATAAGAAATACAATGTCCTTCGCTAAATATCTGAAAACATGAAAATGAAAAAATGAATCGAACTCACCTTTCCTTCTTTTGCTACTCTTGTTATTTTTGCACATTTTCTTACAATCTCGTTTTCTTGCGAAGTTATTCCCTTCAGACGGGCACCCGTAGAATTTCTTGCACTTTCGTGTTTTTTTATCATAATACCATCTGTTAAATTTTTGGTTACATTTGAATGTTATGTCTCTTGGCATTTTACACACATTCTTATTGTCTTTGTTGGGTTTTGGTTCTACAGTATGGTTCTCTTCAATTTTTATGTGATTTGCTTCTTTGACTTCTTTAGGTTTCGTGGGATACGGTTCTTTTTCTTTCAGCTCATTTGGTGCAACTGCTACAATGGATAAAACATGAATACATTATACTTTAAGATCAGCGAGAAGTATGGTTTGAGAAGAATTTTAGAGTCTTTGATTTAATGTGAGTTTAAATGCAGGAACTCTGCAATGTTTATCAGAAGACACAAGATGCAACATTAAAAACAAAAATTCAAAATAACTATACACTATTCCAACACATTTGCAAGTATGGTTGATCACTTGCTTTATTGTCTGTTCATTGCTTGCTTGCTTGCTTGCTTTGTTGATTGGTGTTTGGGTTGATTGATTGGTGTTTGGGTTGATTGATTGACATATCTTATTGATTGACTAACTTATTCGTTTTTTTTGATTGACTGACAAATTCGTTTTTATCAAATGTGGAAATGTAATTATTTCACCACCTGGTCAAATAATCGAATACTGCACATCTTTAACCATCTTTAAATTCGTAAATACACCCAGTGTATCTACATATTAAATGAAAATATTGACTAAAATGTCCCAGGGTTTTGTGGTTTTACGATGGGCGGGGGAAATAAGGTCATTTAACATTGTTTCTTTATTTGTTTTATCATCATTTGAGGTTTGGAGGTTTGTTATTTTAACTGGTTGTACTTTTTGTGATATGTTTTCTAATGTGTTTTTTTGATACTTTTCATTTTTTCCCCACTTTGGCCATTGTGCGTTTATATTTACTTTACTGGTGAATTATTTGATAACCATATCAGCCCATTTAAGCCGGACAGTTGATCTATTAAATATCATGTAAAGAAGTTCCTAAGTTCAAAGGTGGAGGTATGGAATGTTATGGAGATAATACAATTAATACCCAGCGGCAATTACTGAGATTTTGTACCCTGCGGCCAATATTCTGAAGTATTTTAATCCCAACTTAGAGTACCCTATAAAAAGTGTCCTATTCAAATTGTGAAAAAGATGTGATCTACTCCTAAATTACGTTTTGTTTAATTAAGCATAAACAGCAATTTTCCCAGCGTGTAGCAAATACAGTATAGGTGCTGCACCCACTTGAGATTTTGAAAATAGGCTTGCACCCACCTGAAAACCCTTTTGCACCATTTTTGAAAATTAAGAAAATCATGGAAAATTGACATTTGAGAAATATGGGGAGACTGGGAGATAATGCACGAGTTTCATTGTATGCACAGTTAAACTTGAGTATTTAGGCCAGCATACAATTAAACAAGTGCATTAATCCACCTATAATGAACTTATACCAGTGCTTAAATCCTTCTTACAAATGGCATAACAGGGAGAAATATATTTAAACTGGCAAACATTTTGCAAATTTCAATTTTATAACCACTTTCCATTCTCTTTAATTGTATTCCTTGCGGCTAAACTTGTTTGTGAATTTTTATAAAATGAAAAAAACTTTAAAAAAACACTTAACCTTTTACTTAGCATATTCAAACATAAGTGTGGGGTATATGGAATCAAAAGTATTCAAAAATTGATTTGTGATTTTGAGTCGCATAGTTAAAATAAATTAACAATAGATTATGATTATGTTGTATGAACTTAGGCCACCCGCATATGTACCTTCTTGAACTATAGAAAGGTATTTGGCTAATTTTTCTCAAGTATCATTGAGTTTAGGATACTATGTTGATACATATTTTCATCAATTGCCGTAGAATGATCAAAAGAAAAGGCGTGGAAGAATGAAATATATAAATGCAATTGGTATTCTTTAATTCACAAACAGTCAACATTGAAAGGTATTTATCTTTCTAAGGGTTAAAAAATACTTTTTTCAAAATTCAACAAAGCGACAGGTGTAGTGTTGACTTTCCAAACACTTTGTACATTATTAATCGAACGAAGTCATCAGAATCCAGAAAGTATTTGAATAAGAATTGTGACTGTTGTTTTGATTTAAAAGTGAAAAAAGGGTGTGGGTTACCAAATATGATGTTAAAAAATGAATGGGACAACACTGAACATATTTCATTGCTAATATACCTTGAGGGTCTGCCCTGTTATTAATTCTATGGCTGAAATCTGCAATCCATTATTATGACATTCTGGGCCCACCCGTATGAACTTATAAAGTTTTGGGGTCTTTTTTGTTCTAGGTTGTTTACCAAAATATTGAATTATTACAAATTTCTCCAAACCTCCCACATCATCCAGTTTCATTTTAAGCAAATATATTTTGACACAACCAAAATATTTAATATTCCAAGATATAAGAAAAATAACTATTATTTATCTCTTCATTATACATGTATTTGTATTATTATGATGTAATCTGCAAGAAACTTTAGTTCACCTTATTTGGCAAGATTGAGGCACTTGATTCATAAGTAAAACTGACCACAGTGCAAAACAAATAGTGCGATTGGCCAAGGGTATCTCTAAGTTACATAATTCAGGACATGGGCACAATATCATGTTATTATAACACATGCGTCCAATAAGTAAGGGAATAAGATGTAAACAGTTCTGGTAACAATGAATCAACTGAATGTCATAAGGTTATGTAACACAAGGATGTGACTCAAAATGATGATGAAGATTTCAACTTCCTCAAGGTTCTTATCTTTGATGACCAATGTCTTGTGAGATTGCATCAGGCTATCTCATATTCCTTGAAATACTTCAATGATGAATCTAAATAAGGTCAAATGGGCAATAGGCATCTAAAGGAACACTTTTTACCAAAGGTGTTCTACCTAGACATTTGAAAGAAAATCCAAATACCTTTTGTTCAACAATGTATAATAAACAGAATTTACCTGTTCGTCTTTGAATGAAATCACATTAAAACGCAGCTAAATTCAATCATTTATTTTAAGAAACTGGCTGAGAGAATATTTAGGGATCCTCATACTACCTACTTTAACATGTTGTTCATAGTCTTTTTCAGTTATTTCATAATCATGTGTTACTATTTCGTAATGTTGTCCTATTGTTTCACCCTGCACTCCCAAACACTCCATACATACCAAAGTGACATTAGTTCATTGATTTATTCAATTAACATCATGTTTTGCTGATTGTCACTTTAAGATAGACTTGAGAAGTTACATGTGTAGGTCACAACCTGTAATGCCATGTAACACATACTGATATGATTAGCCTGGTGGATTTGCTATGACTATGTTGCCTATCTGACCGGGTAAATTACTAGAATATGCACAGTGGTGCAGCAAGAGTGATGTGTAATGCTCATTTTTAAAGAATGATTAAATGTAGATAGTATTTTTGAATGTATTGATCAATTACTATATTTCCAGTTTCCCCTCCTTCAGAATGTCAACCCATCCATGTAAACATTCATGTATGATAATCAACATAAAAATTCTATGCCATTTTATCTTAGGTCAAAATAAGCTGGCCCGTAGCCAGGGGGGGGGGGTTCGATGGGTTCCCCCCCTGGCCAAAAATTCTTTCAAAACCATGCAGTTTTTCACCATTCTGAGCACTTTTTTGGCCATTTTTTGGACCAAAATTGTCACAAGTGAGCCCCCCTGGAATTTTTCAAAAAGTGGCAAATCCTGGCTATGGGCCTGACAAGGGTATTTCAATTCTTTCCATGGGCTGGGTCAGCGATGCTCTATCTTAAAGGATGGTGCATTTTAAGTACTAATTTATGCCATATAAGTTAGATATGAATGAAATAAGGCACAGAAACTTGTCAATTCATGAGCTGTCACTTATTTCTAAGGACGTAAGGAATGTTGTGCACTTTTTTATTTACTATGATAACTGCTAAAGAAGTTTAGTTTAAAAAACTACTTGTATAATTGTTACGTTTTAACATATCACTCTCTATCTTTACAAGTAGACATTAAGATTTCACATAATTTTGAAATAGGCTATTTACTTAATTTCCTATATATATATAGATCGCTAAAATGATTAATTCAAGTAAAATGTGCGGCTATTTCAACACATTCATATTCTGGTTTGTCAACTTTTCAACATATTACCACATTATTCTAGTAAAATATTGGAGTGAACATTTTTGAGCAGTTTGTGAAATGTTTAGAGCAAGTGAATGTATATATTTCAGAATTTATCAAAATTAAATAGAAATGTCCATTGATGCGGTTTGTAAAAGGGGTGTTGAAATTGCATATTTCTTGTTCAAACTTTGATATATTTGACTGCTTTTGAATTTACACTCCTCTTTTGATGTAGTGTGCTTGAAATGGTATATTAAGTCAAATGATATATCTACGACTATAAAGACATAACTTCACAAACTATTTGTTGAAATTTTTCTAAAGGTGTCTGTGACATGGTATGTGTTAACTATGTATGGTATTTTAAGGCTCAGTTTTCTCATTAAGACTATAGTAAGGATGGGTGGAGCCCCAATAATACACTCTTAACACAGACTAAAATTATCTTTCCAGTTACTCTCATTCAACAGCTCCTTTCTCATTAAAACTTGAAAGAAGTTTCTGACATTCTTGCATATCTTTACAATTTAGAGTATCAACTTCATCCCTATCTATTTTAAAATTAATAAATTCCTCTCGATCCATCAATATTTTAAATTCTAAAACATGATCCAGGTCACATTTGAAGAGATCAACGATAAAGTTCAGCTATACATGAGAGAACCAATGGTGAATTCATAGTGGCAGACTGGACTAAATCTCTAACAAACCTAAGTATTGTGGGTGGATACATACAAGATTACATGACTAACTTACATGGCCTTAAATTATTGTAATCTGCATGTTACCCTAAGCAGGTTGTTGAAATCTTGAGGTTCTTTACACTTAAATACTTGATTTTAAAGTACTTATATAGCCTCTAATTATCCCAACTCGGTGGTTTTAACCATTTCTTTGTAAGATTGTATCTTTTCTTTATATTGTCCTGGTGGCCACATGTTAAAAAGGTCTTTTAGATAGGTAGTAATAATTATAATTATAAGGGAAATATGAACTGTCTTGAACTACTGTGGTTTGTTCTATTGATCAACTTGTTTATGGGGAGGATAGGCATTTTATGTGAATCAATAAACTGAATTTTTTCATACTGGATTTTTAATTGTATAATTATATATTGTATTGTATGGTTTTGATTTTTAAAGTTGCATCTTGTTTGATCTTATTGTATTTTAATAGAGTAGTATTTAATTACAACTCACCTTTACATATTGCGGTTGACCTACAGTTCATGTGTGATTCACATTTGGACGGCATTTCTACGACACACTTGTTTCCTCCGAAACATTTCACACTCTGAAAAATATAAAAAATCAAATATTCCATAAATGTGATTAATATATATTTTTTTCTTTTAAATGTCATGCTCTTAAAAGGATTTTGTATTTTAAGCAATTTTAAGTGCAAGATTGTATACATTATGTTGTAATTTTTAGTACATTTCAGGATTTTGTAATTTTATGCAACATTTCAAGATTTTGGGGATTTTATGAGAGGCAAATTGAATTATTGAGAACCTAATCTTGGAGTTGGGTATTATTGGAAGGGCAGCTCCACCATGTTTCAATGTGGAGAGAGCCTAAAATTGTTGCTTGCTTTGAGGCCAATATGTTGCGTCATATAGCAGTATATAAAATGGTGAAGCATCTCTTGATGATGAGGAAGTAAATTTTGATGTAATGGAAACTAAAGTGCGTTTGGCAGACTAGTTAACCCATGATTATAATACCACACTTTCCTTGCTTAAGCTCTTCTTCCACAAAAAGAACTACTTGATTCTCTTACATTGCTGTGTGATTCAGTAGGTCAAAAACATGCCTGCTTATTCTATCACTCACTGGTTTGATATAATATTCTGTTTTCCGCTTTAAATGTGACTTTAGTGATTTTTTGTATTCCAGGGGTATGCTTTGGTTCCAGCACACTTGACCTTAAATGTTATATGACTATACATCATTTTTACCCTCGATAGAATCTCAGAATTATGAACACTTAATTTCAGATTATCCTCATGAAATATATGAAATTGTTTTTCATGATTGTGCAAACATAATGATTATGGGTTATTTCTATGATGTCTTTTCCCTTCTATTTAACTGAAATGTTAAGATGATCAAAAATGAAAATTTCGATGCAAGGTATTGGACTTGGAAAGAATCCGGAAGCATGGCTATCATATCATGCCTTGAACTTTTAGGAAAATACCTCAAGTTGTTTTGGAACAGTTTCGCTAATTACTCGCTTTACATTTTTCCTAATTTTGCACTAATTTGTTGCTAAACATATGTTCTTGCATTGCATGAGGCAGAGATCAGAGACGGCTCTTAGTAGGTGTAGATTATGTGTATGTATGTAGAATAGACAAAAACTGATTTTTCATAATTTTAGACTTTGCAACCTGGAAGATTCCAAGTATATTTACCTATTAATGTCTGATCATTTTTAAGAGAATATAGCGAGGGGTATATTTCAGAGCTATGGTGCATTCAAGACTGTTGCCAAGTTTGAAATATATTCTCTCTAATATGAGTCATTTATACAAGATCAAGCTGTAAATCATCTACTTTTTCTAGGTTGATATCAGGAACTTGACCTGGCCAGGGTGACTTATTAATGTTTATGGTTTGTGTATTAATCTCAAGGAATTGTTTTGCAACTTTCTGCTGCATTTCAGTAGTAGCTCATGATGATAAGATTATCATTTCTCTTGATTCGCTTTCAGGGAATGAAATCACTGATTAATGTATATTAAAGCTATGTAACTTTAAGGTCAACTAACTTATTACCTCATGACTTATCTGTATTTTTCTCTAAGGACTTTCATCATTCTTGACATCCTTAACTTTTCTTTTGTCATAAAAAATCACATCATTAACCAGACATCTTTTTTTAGACATCTGTTATCATGAACCAAAACTTTGTCATCGTTAAATGGACTTTTGTCATAAACCAAACCTTTTCATCCTAAACCATATCTTTGTCATTATTTCCTACACCTTTGTCATCCTTAACCACACCTTTGTCATCCTTACCCATGGCTTTAGCATCATTAACTACACCTATATCATCTTTAACCACACCATCATTATTAACAATATCTTTGTCATTATTACTGACATCTTTGTCACCCTTAACCATATCTTTATCATCATCAGCATCATAAACCAAACCTTTGTCATCCTTAGCCACACCCGTACCATCATTATTAACATATTTACGATTGAGATATGGTATGTCAGGTAAACCCTAATGATAAATTGTTAAGTGACAGGCCCACCTCCCCACTACTCCTTAATAAGTAGACCTGGCTCTGAAGTATTCAATTAAAAACAATTAAAAATGTCACATTTTAAAACTAATTAACCTCAACATATTTGAATTAATGCCATGGTGCTCTGTGGTTATGAAGTTTGAAATATTGCTACTACACTGTATAGTCAAGCTGTAGTTGTAAAACTCTCTTCAAAATTTGAATGAAGTGTATGATATTCTTCAATTGTTATACAGTTTAGAGTATGTACAACCTTTTCGTGTACTTTATTCCGTGTAAATGTTACTCATTTACACTCAGTTTTGTGTTTTGAAAACACGATTGCCCTTGACGTTTTACCCATCAGATACCCGCTGTTACATATAGTTATCGGGACGACTGTCAAGAGTGCCAACAAACCTTACTACTTGTACCATATAGTATTTGAAACTATTACAAGTGCCCTGTGGTATACAATCTAAAAGTTAAGTGGACTTTTTAGTAGGAATTCAGTAAACATGTGTTCTAGGGCCGGATATTTGTTTTTTGTGGCACTGGCAGATTTGATTGATACGCTTTAACATTACTGTCATCTAGTATGATAATTTTTATGTGATATTTGTTCAAAATATGTTCACCTAAGTTTGTACAAATAGTGACGTATAGCTGTCATTTGTCCAGGCCTCGTTTCCTCAAAGACGTCAGTCATATACATTGTCAATGAAATGCCATATTGTTTTTAGATTTTGGAAATGTTGTCAGCATATCATCAGACATCATCAGTATCTGTTAATATTTGAATGAATTGAAAAGTACTTTGGGCAACTTGAACAAACACAAGCCAAGACCTAAAAATCATAGAAATGATGCTATAATATTTCCTATATGAAAGGGCATTGTTCATGGACACTTACCCTACAGGGGTTAAAGCATTTACAGATCGCTCTTCCTTCCACGTCATGTTCTAGCCCATGATCGCAATTTAGATCACATTTTACAGGTGTGTGTCCCCAGTAGTCTGACATGGGGCGGGGATCGAAGCCATAATCAAAGCGACTGAGGAATGATCCCGTTATTCTTGGTAGGCCCACCTGAAATACACAAAATAGAACATATAAGAAATGTCGACTTTACAAATGAACATAAGCATTGTTCAAGTCTGTTGTCAACATTCAAAAACAGGAAAATCATTGATAAAATAGGAGTGGGACAACCATTGACATTTTGATTTTTAAGAGTACTTCTTTAGCTAATATCTGAATTGAGGCTGTGAATATTACAATGGGAATGGGTCAATCACGAATATGATCAATCCACACTTAATTTTGCTTTTGTGAGAATTTAACTTTCATGTCATTGATGATTTTTATATATCGTGCTTTTCGGTTATCATTTCCGCAATTGTGTCAATTGTACATTTGTTTCATTTCTCTTTTGTTTCTGTTGTGGTTTTGTGTGCTTATATGCTTTTTGATCAATTGTGATATTCTATGAATTTAATATTCTTTGGCTTTTGAACAAATTGTACTTTTTTATCATCTGCTTTTGTATAAGTTGTTTTTCATGTCTTTATGGGTTTTTCATCAATTGTGCTTTCGTGCCAAATGTCAATTATAAGAGGAATTGGAACTAAACACCTTTTGCTGCATATGACACAAAAAATAAAGTTAATGATAGAGTCACACAAAGTGCGTATCAACAACCCCATAAAAACATACATAAAATTAGAATAAAATGTCAAGCTAAGTCAACATGGATTTAAGATTCTTACTTCCTATATTTGAACAGGACAATGTTTCATGGCGAAATGAATAGACATTTTGTACGGAATATAGGATTATCTGATTATAATGTCAGCTGACACTAAATATATATACTGTCCACTTAGGTCCCAAGAATGACTAATTGTTCTTTATCAAGAACTTTTTGTCATTGATGAGCGTCATTATTTGTGCGATGATTTAAAAGTATAATTTTCGTTAAGTCTTTGTTTACATGTGTAGGTGATAGTGAACTCTATTTGCATGCAAACTTAAACCTTGAGCCATAAAATTAACCAGAAATAGTAGAAAATGGGTGAGTATCAGGATATCTCACAGCTTAACATGTCTAGTGTAAATACAACCAACCCAGGCACTAGAAAAACTTGGCAAAGTTACATTTCTTTTACGTTCTTTTTTAAATAAACTCTCAGAGTTTTGAGTGCACTTTGCAATTAGATCTCAACAGCTTGATTCAAGAAGAGCTCAATCAATTTGTTTCACATTTTAACAAGGTGGAAAGTATATTCATTGGTGTTCCCAATCTCGATCTACAGCCTCATGGTTGTTCTGATCTCAGGTCATTACACCCAGTAGAAAGCAACAATGGAAAGCAACAATGTGCGTTCATGTGGAATGTGCGTTCATCTTTGTTATTCATTATCATTAGTATTCACCTTGAATATACAGATGAACAATTTACAAAAATGTACATATGCAACACAACAATATCCATACATGGCACAATCATTTATGTATGCAACACAATCATTTTCATACATGGCACAATCATTTACAAATGCAACACAATCATTTTCATACATGGCACAATCATTTATATATGCAACACAACAATATCCATACATGGCACAATCATTTACAAATGCAACACAATCATTTCCATACATGGCACAATTATTTACGAATGCAACACAATCATTTCCATCCATGGTACAGTCATTTGCTTATAAAATACAATCATTTCCATACATAACTCAATCATTTTCATACATAACACAATCATTTCCATATGTGGGACAATCATTTACAATAATGAACACCAAGTACAGCTCTCCAACCCAGAAACATTTCTTCTTTTTTGATCAATCAAAAACTGACTAGCCATTACTCTCATCATGTTTATGTATAGCACCACAGTGAAGTTGGCATTGACCTTAAATTTACAGTTAAAATTAAATATTGTTGTGACATCGTTATGGATATTATCTAGTTCCTGGGATGTCTTTGCTTTAAAACACCAAATATGGTGACAAAGGGGTACATTCGGCAAGAAATAAAGAAAATGAACATGAAGTTAACTATTTAAATTGTAAAGAAATGCAAGAAAATCCAACACTTCATTCAAATTTTAGAGAGAAAATGTTGTTTATGTAACAAGAGGGACATTTAAGTGTGACAGAGAAGCTTAAGGTGGTCAATATTGTACCACCTGTTGCTCGTAATTGCAACATAGTCTAGCAAACAGCTATTTAGCTAATGATACATAAATTATAAGTCATCATTTGTGCCAATTTTTTAGAACCCTATGTCGTTCAGATATTTTCAATTTGTCAAATGCACAAAATATGTGTCACCCTTTGCTTTAGGGATATCATGGAGATAAAGAATGTGACCTCCAATGAACAACAGAAAATCAAAAATATTGGCAAAGTTCTTACATGCAATTCAATTCTGAATCATTTAACAATTGATGGATTTAATTCACTGTAAAGGTCCGTCATATTCAAGGTTATAGATACATCTAGTTTTCCCACCTCCATAAAATATTAAAATCACATTGAATGCCAATGAACGCTTTCTACCTACGTACGTCCATGGGTCACATAAAATAACCCTAAACACTCCAGAAAATGATTTTCGTAAACAGCCTCGGGTAAACATAACATAGTAATTTATATTGCACACAAATAAGTAACGCCCCCTTAAAACATCTGAGCCATAATGTAAAATTCAAAAGAAAATCCAGGGGCTATTTGTAGTAAAGTTTCATCTGTTCTTAACCTGTTTTTCGATAAAGACGTCATAAATATCATAAACAAAACTTTGTTGTTGCTAAACATCTATAAAATAAATTCAAAAACATAAACATGATTTAAATCAATGTCCATATGTCTCAATTTGAATTTTATTGCTCTTTTTCTTTTACATGTTGTAAGAAAAAAATCAAGAAATATGAAATTAAGAATTTGTGGAGCTGGCCTAGTTATTAATTTTTAAGTGTTGCTCTTTGTTGGGGATTTTTTGTTCCCACTATGGTTATGTGATTGTACAGTGACTTGTACTGATTGTCTCAATTTTGATTGTGCTATGCATGGATTGCGCTGATCCAGTTTTGATTGTGCTATGGATTTTGCTTATTCTTTCAGTTGTGTTTTAGAAATATTTGCATCATTTGTTCCGAATGATATTCCTGCGTAGTGTTTTCTGGTGAACTGTGAATCTCATTCTGCAATTGTTTGCCTTGATCGTGTTTTAAATACTATAATTTGACTAATTCCATCATAAGATAAAGACTTTTAGTATTGCAAAATTATATGGTGTAGTTCTTCTGCTTTGATTAATTTAGGTTGTTCGAGCAATCTTTGTACAAAACTGATTTTGTTCTTTTATCTTCTGGTTGTGTTTAATAGAGGCCCTGTCATTAGTGCCCCACACAAACTTCATCACATTTTTCGTGATAGTTAAGTGTCAATGTTCAATTGGTTGTCTTTATCATAGTACTATCTTGATTAAAGTTTTGAATTGATTGTCCTCAAGCTGACTGCACAATTTATCATAAAAACACAATAAAAATATGTTTTCAATATAAACTTTCATGGATGCCTTCTACTATTTACTACAGTACAGCGTTGTAATGACTTATGAGGTATGTCAGCGACCGCACGCTGTCTGAGTAAATGTTAACTTTTTCATGCATTTTTTATATCAACTATACATCCTAACTGTAAAATTTTAATCAAATCTTTTTGCATTTCTACACAATTTGGAATGTTGATTATTTGTCTGTGCAGTTTATAACTTGCTAAAACCACTGCTTTTAGTGTTAATTTGTGTTTAAAAACATGACCATATTCCATTAAATCTTGAATGCGGATAGATTAACCAGGGTGGTGTCTAGTACAATGTGCTAGTAATACAAGTGTGTAATCTATAGAGACATTCAGATCTATTTATTCTAGAAGGTCAAGTTTGACTAGTTTATAATTACTGTAATCTACTGTTTTTTGACACAAAGTATATACAGCTCTTATCCCTACAACCGTACAACCGATAATTCAGAAAAAATTCTAAAATGTCAGGATAACTGCCTTTTATCTAACTGTGCTTCACCAAGCTGTTTTTACCAGAAGCATGCAAACTCAGTCCTAATGTAATTGTTGTTAATTAGAAAACATAATGATATCATTTTTGTAAGGTAGTCAGTCTTCACTTAAAAATGTCTTCAACTGACCTTCAAAGACCTGAATAGCTGTATGTAGTATTTGCGTTAGACAGAGTACAATATCGAAGCAATTAATAATTGAAATCATTCATAATCGTGTCCAGTTATCACGATATATCGTGAATTTATTGTTTTTGAGAGTATGTAAGTCTTCTTGAGGTTAGCCAAGGTACTCCAACTTGACACTAGTGTACGATTAAAAAGCTCTGTGGTATTGGATTCAGAGTTAGTGTAACCCCCTTTAACAATGAAAGACAGATGGATGGAAAGCTATCACTGTATGCTTTTTCTAGGATGAGACAGCAAATTTTATAACCAATTTGAGATAAGTTGATTCCACCGCCAACCTCCCTTGCCCCACCTACCCCACACTCCCCTCCCCCTCGTTACATAATGAAGACATCGGGGATAACGCAAGTATGCAATAAACCCCTCGTGACATCATTTTATCAAGAGTTCTCTAACACACATGAATCATCCACATAACATGAAAAGGTTGAACTTTTACAAACAAAGTCAATACACACAATGTATGTACTATTGAATGGTACTTGTTCAGAAATTCTGATCATTTTATTATCTCAGCCTGCAATGCAATGACATTGTAATTTATAGTAAACTAGTAAAGAGGAAGTTTGATCAAATAAAAAGTGCAACTTGAGCAATTTCAGGAATTAGTTGAATCCCCTATACATATAGGCATTGAATTATTCACAGAAATATCAATTAATTGCTCAATACCTGGGCTTGTTGTTGCATTTATGACTGCCAAAATTCCCTGTGGAATCATTAATCATTGATAGGCTTTCTTGTTAAAGGGGCTCAGTTTGATATCAGCGCTATCTAAAATATATTCCAAGATCAGCTTTTGTCTCTTTTAACAAATCAAGTTGTCATGGTAATAAGCACAATCAAATATTATTATTACATAACTTAATATTTGTCCTTTGAACATTATTGCTATTCTAAATATACAATCCCATTAAAGAGACCAATTCAGATTTTCCAAAAAAGTATTATGAATTGTTATGGAATTTCCTTTAGTCCTGCAACCTGAGGTTACAAGCATTTTTAAAATGAACAACATCTCAGGATTGTTATTCAATGAGTTCATAGCAGGGGGGGGGGCTATCAGCATTATATCTTAACCTGATAAACCATCCCTCTTTCATAGAAAATAGATCAATGAGCTCACTCACAGGATGTGAACTATTGAATTCTGATACCAGTGTATGATATCATTGTATATCTAGCTCTTAAAAAAGGCTAAAGTTCTATAAGTAAGACCATAGTGATTGTCTATGTGTTTCCAGGAGCAAAAACTAGTAACACTAAAAGATAAACGGACAAAAATATCTATGAGTCAATCGGGGAGTCAATGACATTGACAGTTGACACCAAAGTCAACCTTAACTATATTGTCATATCATATACTGTAGGTTCTTTGGATTATGATTAAAGGGGTTAAGCATTCAAAAATTCCTTGACAAAAAAACATTTGAACGGCTTCATGGGGATGGGTCAAAAAGTGAACAGACAAGTCAGGTATTTATTGCAAAAAATGCATGTTTGGATAGTATGTACCCGTTTGCCACATGTAATTTGTTGGCCCCATTTTTTCGAAAGGTTTCTATTATATCTTTACAACTGCCCTTGAAATATATTGAACAGAAAGAATCCAAAGTATGTAAGGTCACTTCGACATACATACCTAGCTAAGAAGCAAACATATATAAACATAAAGCTTCGGGTGAACTTTCAAAAGATAATTTTGTTCATTTGGATGCTGTTTCAAGATATAACCAGCAGGGGTTTAGATTGTCAGAAATTGAGCGTGTTTGAAATACCTAAGCTATTTGTAGTGTATGTTATTGTTTTAACACCCCGCTCACAGGGAGGAGCGTGTTACATACGCCATTCATACTTTCAATCATTTCCAGTGAATAAAATACCAGGCACTCGGCTATCAAAATGCACAATGGAGTACAAAACGAGAATTGACATAAATATAGGTAAAGTGCATTCTGTTCATTGAAGTGAAATACAAAAACTTCTGAAACTTATTGAACAATGATATAATACAGGGGAGAACGGATTCCATAGTCTGGGAGTTGTATTTGATACATCTCTTTGTGGATTTATAGTTTTGAATTTGAATAATTACTCATTTTTATAAAAACAATCATATAACATTCATTAAACAATATAAGCAAATATATTCACTCTTGCATGGTGCAATAAACTTCCTAAACAATATAACAGATTCATCCACAACACAATACATTCACTCCATGTTACAATACCCTCACTATGATGCAATATATGATATAATAAGAAAGAACAAAGGGCAACATTTACATCAAAATATTCATCCATGCCCTTACTTATAACATGACCATTCAGCATGTAAAACAATACATCCACTATGCATTATAATACAATCATCCTTAGAGCATTTATTCACTTCTTTTCAAAGCAAAGTTCAATCCTGAAGGATACATACAATGCAATGTGCTCTCTAAACAAAACAATATGTTCTTTACACAATTCAATGTGTTCTCTACACAATACAATGTGTTTCTACACAATACAGTGTGTTCTCTAGAAAATACAAAATCGTCACCACCAACCCCACAAACCATGAACAATAAATAAATTTTCCCATCTTGGAGAAATCATCACCAATTGCAACATTTTAGAGCTCTATACAAGACTATACTAGACTTGTTAAGAGTACTTCATCCTGTTTTGATTCATTGACACTGGCATCATATCATTCATTATAGGAAGTTATATAACAAACTATTATTAACTTATATTAAACTATTTCAACTTATATTAGGTGGTTTGTAAATAAACAACTTATACAAGCCAAGAGATGAATAACAACAATAACATTATACTCATAGCGTGTAGGCGAAATATAGTTCAGCTCATAATCCCATATGAACACATCCTAAAGGAACACCTCCCTTGAACATAAACACTTTAAGTGAACACCTTTTTGATCACATATTGACTTTCATTGAATACCAGGCATAATGACAGGTTTTACTGTATGCAGTATGTTCACTGTGATAATTACAGTGAAATGTATCTTTGTTGAACACCTTGCATTAAGACAGGTGTTCACCTTTCAGTGTTTGGCTAAAGAGAATACTTCAAGTGTAAACCATCGCACTTGTTCCAGAGAGACATTGGATTGCTAGACTTAAAACTGTTTCATCATGTTTCAAGTTTAAAAAATGAATTAAAGTTGACTTACCATAAATAAGAGAAGGACCATCCTTATATCACAGCTCTCCATTTTTAGCATCATTTTCTTGTATAATTAGAGTTAATATTAACTTTAGGTGACTTCAAATTCCAATCTCACATGGTCCTTTACATCAGCTGATTGAGCTCTGTAGTGTTTACTAGGTTTTCAACCCTTCCACATCTCTTTGCATTTCTATATCACACTATTCACTTTAATTGCATTCACTTCTGTGTCGTTCAGTCCTGTTTCCCTGTCTAAATCAACTTTTAAATTTCACTCGTTTTAATGTGTGGTTTATCTTAAGTTTCACTCGTTAATGAATGAGCGGAGTCAGCATTCCATGAATAGTTCTATATGTGAACCCCACGTGGGAGGATGATCGTTAACTGGTTAAGGTGATTCATCTACTATTAGCTTGACATATAAACACTAGCATTTCATTCACTTTCTGAATCAGATGCGTTCATTCATATAGTTTGTAGTTGCTCTGTATCTTTAGCGTCAACATCAGTTCATATGTGTTAAGTTTCGTTTTGTCCTTTTTTTTCTTGAAATAATTATAGATTAATTAATATTTAATTCTTAATAAAGTATTTCTTTCACCATTACTCAGTAAAATTTACTTACAATTTCACAATGTTTTTTAAGATCTTTAACTTTGTGGAAATTTTCCTCCTGAAGATCTTAGCTATAGTTTGAGAATTGTTTCTGAATATTTATTTGTGATGTGTTTACTCTGCTATCCCTTGCTTTATCTGACAGAAGTTGTATTTTGCTCTATATATACTATCTTTATCTGGTGTTTACATTTTCAGGCCAATAGCCAGGTGGTGTAGTCTACTTACTTACCTGGCTACACTTATCCGGAGGTTATTATATTGGTTTGTGAAGTAGACTATCATCATCGAAATTGCTCAGGAATTTCAAGCAGTGAATATGCCAGAGTGTTTAAGTTCAAATTCTAGATAGGATAATTAAACAAAACATGCCGTTGTTGATACAATTTGTCATATTTCCTTTACAGATTTTAAAATCTTTTATTTTGTATTTGTATACAATGTTTCTCGTATCTAACCTGTTATGTAGTGAGGCAGATGTGTGATCCTTTTAAATTGATTTCTTCCTTTAAAACTTCTATCAGCTTCAATCAAGTTGAGTGCTATAAACCTGTATTTAATTTGCTGATTTTTTATATTGATGTATAACCTGTTAAAGTATGTATCTAGGTGTTTTTATAATTAGGTCATATAATTAGGTCACTGCATTTACATTTCAGTTCTTTCTTCATAACATTAGCAAAAACAGGCACATTTGATATATGTGCATCATGATTATTCAAGTTTTATCATTGATTTGATAGATTGATTTGAAATCTTTGATATTTAGTTTTTTATTTGCATGTAATTTGGCAACCTTGTGTTTTTTTCAAGTTCAAATTTCTGAAAAATTCTTTTCATTTTATCTTTTTACAAAATGATCTATAACCAATGATGTTATTTGAGCATCAGAAACGGGATAATTGAGCAATTTTACTTGTTGGAATTTACATTAGTGTTTTGTTAACAATTTTAACTGTTGGAATTTATATGGATGTTTTGTTTCTATTTTTTGCTGTTGGAATTTATATATAGGTTATTTGGGGTGTTGCGTTTGTAAACAACCACTACATCAGTGACCATGAATAATAGAAATTGTTATTTTTTACACAATTGACTCTATGGTATGTTATATACAAATAGTGGTCAGTTTGCCAGGATTGCAATTACATGTACATTGTATGGGTAAATTGTTCAAAATATAGACATGTAAAATACATTAATATTTGGCCCAAGATTTTAGATTCTCAGCCAGATTTTTTCAGTTACTGCTTGCAGCCAAAAATGATTAATATTAAATAGCTATAAAAAAGGTTGATTTTTTATATTTTATGTGGTCATGCTCAAATATATCATCATCGGAATGGGGAAACTTAAAATGACTGCTTCATTATTGTTGCATTGTAGAAATTAAATTCTTATTAATTCAACAATTAAAATGAACAAATGAAATGTCAAATTCTTGACTTTTACACAGTTCCATATCATACCACAAATGTCAATGCCTTTTTGGCTTTGTGAATTTTTGGGGTTGTGCACAATTGCGACATTCCTGACTTGCGGTTCTTTTCTTGGCTTTGCATGTATTGCAATCTCTGTCTGGGACAAATATTTCTCTATATAGAATATATTTCTTGAAGCAAAAGTTATTTTAGAATTGCCGGTTCAATAGCAGATTATGTGTATTGGGTGGTCTGCATGCCAAGAATATATGGTTATTATTTGCATAATTTATATATTACAAATTCCCTTAGGTATTACAGAGAGGCCCTCTTGACTCTTCTTACTAATCCATTTCATGCCTGAATTCAGCTCATTTCATTTGTGAAATTCTTATTTATGACAAACTGGGATGTTTCAGCAACTTAAACTTCCTTTGTAGTCTTCAACAATGACATTTTTATGTATATTGGCTATTAGATATTTCAATCTTACGCCATCTCGGTTACATTTTGATTTCTGAATGCTACTGAATTGCAACGATTTGAATGGTATTACAAAACAAAGTTATAACCAAAAGTTAACATTATTCATTTTTTTCTTTTTGATGTTTGTTTGTTTGATTTTTTATTTGTTTGTTCAAATATGAATCTCCTTTGGAAAGGCACAATTGGAATATGATTACAGCCAAGGCGGCAAGACTTGATTATAACAATTTGTGTCTACAGCTAATAGTATCCATGGTGATAGTGTTGTAATTTTAACCTTACTACTAAAAATTCCAACTTCCCAAAACAATTCAAGGTCAGACTGAACGAAATCTAAAAATGCGTAATGTAAACGATTGGCTGCTTATCTCTGAGAATGTTTTAAAAATCATAACGATATCCCGGAATATTTACATTTGGAAACTACTTTTCACCTGGAGCGATCTTTCCAAGATTGCCTTCAGAATTAAATGATACCACCTGTGCTCGAAATATCAGAATAGTGATGTTACTTTGAATTTTGTCGGAAAATTGGAATTAACAATTGATTGGACGGTATTTCTGCACAAACTGCAGTCTCTGTCAAACTGATGCATTCGACTCATTACCTTTCTTTATTAATTTGAAATTAAAATATGTAACAAAGTTTTGACATTTTATTCGTTGGACTGCCTCCAGATATTCTATATATCACATAACTAGCGGTTATTTTCAAGGCATATTTTATGTAATATACACCATTTGTGTCAGGTTTACAAGAACCAAACCCAACTGCCCAATTTCTTAACTGATTTTTACAATTAATCAATTGATGCATCTGTGGGTTCCCACTTCTCCCGAAAATAAATCACAGTGAGCTATGAAAATTTTATCGAGCTGGATGAAAAATTTGAAAATTCCAACTACCTGGATGTTCGGATTCACATAGAGTTGGAGATAAAAGAGACAGCTTGTGGGGCAAAAATTTGGACCCTGGTTATTTCATAACTACAAGTATCACGGATGTAGCCAGGCATAAAGCAGGCGAGGCAACTATCTCAGTAAAATTTTACAGAAATATATCTATTTAGAGATGTTTTCAACTAAAACTGTGAAACTGAAGCCCAAATGTAGTAATATACCTAATTTCAGGCCTGTCAACTGTCCCGCAATTTGCGTATTTGTCACGCATTTGCTGAAGAATTTGAAGTCACGCCAGTTTTTTTTGCGTGACACAAAATGTCACGCAAATACGCATTTTACCTGGTAATTGTCACGCAAATATGTTTCTGTAAAATTTTTTTCAAAATATGTTTATGATACGGTAAAAATACGAACGTCGGAAAAAAAAGAACGCAATTTGTTCGGATTTGTCACGCGAATCCCGTATATGTCACGCATGTTCATTTGAAATTTTCGTACCTACCCAAGCATCTCTGCTCTGATGCTTATTGAACATTTAGATCATGATTGATTGATTCTTTCTGATGTTCTGGCATTTCTATGGAATTTGACGTATAATTGCCAATTTCTGGAATTATATTCCCCATTTGATTCTCAATTTCAAATATTTTATAGTTCATTCCAAAACAAAATGACCTTGACCTTAATCTCAAGCTAGGATCCATTCCTCACTTATGGAAATATTTGACAAATGAACAAAAGGCAGATTCATATCATTGTGGTAAGCCACGCCCTCTCCATCTCTATCCTTTTTCCATGCAACAGAGAGAGATGCTATAAGTATCAGAATGGATTCATATGGTAAATGTAATAACCTTGGCAATACCTGTCATAAACATCAATCAAATCCCAATGTAAAAAACAACAACTCATGTGTGTTTCATCATCAGTTCCAACTAGGCTTTAAGAATACTGATAACTGATACTGCAACAATTTCATTCCAACAATAAAGAATTTCAAATCAATAAACAAACTGGAGCCTGCTTATCAATATGGTTGTGAATTGTGTGTAAACAGGATTGGGTAGCCTCATATTCAACATTTGCTATAAATAAGATAAAGACAATGTCATGTATGAGTCTAGAAATGCTAAGGACATTCAACATAACACACAGTGCCATTGCCAACACAAAGTATTCATTCAATGTCAATAGGTCAAGGTCAATCTTTCCAGGAGACACACATTATATTGCTCCTCATTATATAGGAAAAATAAGGATATATCATACTAGTTGGATATATTCAAACATATGAGTGGATTCGTGAATAGATGGGCATCACAGATAAGTACATTTTATGAAACAGTTTTCATCTGACAGATTGTAATTTGAAGAAAAAATATCTGACATTTTTGGATATGAGAAACTTTTCTACCAACACAAAGAATATTACCTAGCCAATTTGAACTGCATGTGCAACAACCAATCCATAAATGAGCTACTTACGGCATCTAGTCAACTAGTAATAATTACTGATTAGCCCACACTTCTATGTAAGTGAATACTGACCAACATCTGTCTGGCCTTGGCAGCTTCAAATAAGCTTAAGATTTGATTTCAAAGAGACTACTAGTAATGGCAAACATGACTCAACAACCAATTACTCAATTCGTTCAAGCAGCATATGTGAGCTTGAAATCACCAAACACAACAATGAGTGTGACAACCCCTGTGTTTACTTCTGCTGACCAATCTAATAATGCTACTATTTGTCATAGTATCAGCAGATCATCTGATGCAACTACTATCTGCCCCACCACATCTATGGCAATAACTTCATGTGTTGTCATGTGTACTGCCTCTTCTACCCCTACTTGTAACACTACATATACCTCAACTAGAACAGCGACAAAAAGGGACGCTACAGAACGTTCACCATTTGACCCATCTGTTGCTCAAAAATGCAAAATCCCAGCAACAGAGAATTTGTCTGAAAGTTTTCACTCATTAAGCCTTGAACCACAACAATCATCTACTCCTGTTCCTATATCTGGTGATAATATTCAAGGAACACTCCCTCCGCCTTCCCACCCTCGCTTTTATGTACAACCCGCTGTGCAACCCCCGGTGCAACCATACCCCAGCCCAGTCCAGCAAATCATGGATGCTGGAGAGAATATCTCCATGATCGAATCACGTTTGGAATCAGTTATTATGAACCAAATCAGCACTTCTTTAAAAGAACTTATACCTGACGCAATATCGAATTCAATGGCAGCATATAATAGGAGATTAACAAAAGCGGAAAAAACAATTAAAGAACTCGAGGAGAAAA